CAATGTTGCAATCATCATTTTATGTAAAACCACAAGGTGTGTTTTTATATCAAAATGAATAGAACATTTTCTCTTAAGAAAAGAACAGTGTTGGTTTTACAAGCATTGATTTAAGAAAAGAATAGTGTTGGTTCAGTGTCCACATTTTCTTGAGCAATATTGCTTTCATGATTTCTCTCTCGTCTTGGATTCGCGCATTCCGCAGCATAGTGTCTGTATTATTGACAATTATAACATTCAATAGTGCTCTTGTCTCGACTGCTGGATGTGTTATGGTTTCCATCTCTCTTTTGGTAGGTGCCTCCCCTCTCATGTTGGCCACGTTCACCACGTCCTTGAAATGACCCATATCCTTTTTGATTTTCTTTCTTTGAATCATTCTCTGATTGCAGCTTGTTTGTTTTAGACCATTCCTCATGTGTAGAGAGGAGCTTCTTCTCTTCAAGTTCGCCATGGCCCTTCATTCTTTCTTCATGTGCCTTTAGTCTTCTAATTACCTCTTCAATTGTCATTTTGTCCAAGTCTCCAAATTGCTCGAGAGTTGATGCAATCTGCAAGAACTTAGACAGGACTGTTCGTAGTAGTTTCTTCACCACGTACGATTCTTCTACCATGTCTCCCAATACTCATATTGTGCTCACGATATTGTTCACTTTCACAGTGAACTCATCTATATCTTCTGAATCCTTCATGCTTAATGCCTCAAATTATGACTTCAAGGTTTGGATTCTCTCTGTCTTCACTCTAGCGGCTCCCAAATACATGATTTTGAGAGCGTGTGACCTATGACCTGTCACAAGTGTCAATTAGGCACCCGATGGACACTGCATGTTTGTGAGCTTAAACATTTCTGATGTCCAGCTCTGGGATTCTACATCAAACAAACATGGAATAAATAATCTACTCTTAAGCTTATGATTTAGATCAAATATTTTCTAAATCTTTATGTTTAAAATGTATAGCCGAGAACACTAATAGGCTGCCACAAGTGATGTATATCAAGCATATTTGTGGACTTGGAAGGCAGCCAACTATTTTGAGGAGATTTAGTGTTTCAGTAAAAGACTAAGCATGTAGCTTCTAAGTATTTTAATGTATTATTTATAATACTCTTTTTTAAAGTGGTTTTAATGTGTTGATTTTTTATATAATTTTGCATCAGGATTAGAGTGAAGCAATCACATATTTTGAAAATGCCCTTGCACTCTCGAAAACAGGCTTCGGCACCTAAGTTGGTTTTAACATACATATACATACCATCTTGGCTAACATTTTCAGGCTTGTCATCTCTATTTATGATATTGTGTGCACAGACGATGCACAAGTGTCTTCGACCTTCAAAAAATGCAAGTTCATGTTTCTTATTTGAAGTTTTCATTTCTGTTCTATTCCATGATGACAAATGATGGTTCATTTTTGGATCTTTGTTTTTTATTATTGTGGGAGTGGACTTCACATAAAATCTCTGGTTTTCTATAGGAATCTGGTTATAATGTGTACTCTTACTTATATCTTTGAATACCTCATGTGTAAGGGGAGCTATGGGATGACACAAGTCGTGAAGTTGTTTCTTTAAAATTATTAATTTAGTTTCCATAAATAACAACGTACCTTGTGATTTTCAGTATTTTGATAACCAAGAAATTGTTTTATTAATATTAATAATAACAACAAAATCATAAAAAAAAAGATAAAGTAAGGGGAAAAGGGTCATTTTTCAAGGGTGTAACGGTATTTCAACTCATATTGTGAGTGAGAGGGGTCAAAACCGAAGTGAAACCTTGAAAAGGGACCAAAAATGAAAAATCCCAAAAAATTTATTATAGTTCCTTTCATGTTGACATTACTTAAAATGTTTAATAGGTGTCCTCTTTTGGTTCAACTTATCCTCCCAGTGCATACTCACCAGATGTTCTTCCAAAATATGTCGTTTGGTTGCTTAATCAGGTTCAAATGTCATGTATATGGACTTCCATCCTCAGCAACAAACCATTTTCTTAGGTTGATCCCATGTTTGCTCGCTTTAACCCCTACCAATTTCTTAATTTGATCTAATATTCAATATCCTTTTTTTATGAAATTAAGAAAAAGTGGTAATGAGATTGTTTACAGGCTTATATCTAACCACATATGCCTAATATGTTATTTGATCTTTGTAGTTGAAGAAAATGTTGGTGAAATACGTATTTGGGAGGTTGGAACTCGAGAAAGAATGGTGCATAAACCGTTCAAGGTTTGGGATTAATCAGCTTGACTTAATGCCTTTTCAGGTATATATGGCTTTAAATTATTTTGTTTAAATATATTTATTTTTCCCTTCCGTATGTGTTGTATTTTCCATGCATATTGTTTGTATATGCATACAATACATCGGGGGGGGGGGGGGGGGGGGGGGGGGGGGGGGGGGGAGGGTTAAGGTGACTTGGAGAATACCATTAATTTGATAGGTCTTGCATAATACACATAGATGCATGTGTTGCCGGTGTAAATTCTTATAGTTTCCAAAATGTAGTATTAAAACAAATTATATTATTTTTGGCAGAAATGTGTGGTACCAACACAAGATGGAACTTAAGAAGATGAACATTTTGACATCGAAGGTTATTTTCGTCTTTTGTTCTTTATGTTTGATTAATTTTATTTCTGATGGAGAAATATCATTTTTATTTTATGTGATGAAAATAACGTGCAGATAAATCAGACTCATCAGTTATAGCCACCACTGCAAGTTGCCAAAATACCGATTTTTAGTGCATATGCCATATTTGACCCTTAATTTTGGTTTTTTGTATTTGACCTATGTGAGTATATATTTGATTATGTCTTGCCATATTAACTAATTTTTATTGTTTTTTTAGATAAGTCTTAATGTAATGCACAATTGTGATTTGTGTACGTGCGTTATCAAGAATTGGTTCATTTAGCACAAATTTGTAGTTTTTTCTTATGTTAAACTATCATGTATTAATAATTAAAACGAAGTTTTTGGGTTTTACAGATTCATTTAAACAACAGACTCAAACATGTAATATGTGCATATTGCACTTTATTTTAACATTTTCTGTTATTTATTTTCATTTAAAAACCCGAAGAATTTTATAACGGCGTCGCAATTTGGGATAACCAACAACATATGCGACTTTTGTGGGATGCAATCGAATTCCAATACATTGAATGTTCTTTTATGTTTTTTGTACAGACACTAATCGTTTAAACAAATATCATTGTCAAAAGAAACTATTTGGTGGAAAGAAACAATTCGTTGCCGCAAAACCGACTGCTAAAAATATGTATTGGTTTTGTGTTCCTTGAAGTCTGTCATGTTTCCAAATAGAAATAATCACCAAAAGAAACTAATTGTCAAATGAAGCTATTCGCCGCCGCCGCTTTGCACGGGTAGAGAGCTAATATATATATATATATATATATATATATATATATATATATATATATATATTATATATATATATATATATATATATATATATATATATATATACTGCTTATTTTGCAAATTTAATTAAATGCTGAAAATTAAGAGGTACAAACCCTTATGCAACTTATACAATCAATTTATGCAGTGAAAAAATAAAAACCATAATTGGTCAACATACGTATTAAACCGCTATTGATTTTGACTCGGTCTGCATTCTTTATCCATTCCCTATCCCGCCCAACAACCTCCCCCATTGTATCGCAGGTTTTGAATTGGTCAGATATGAGATGCACCATTCAGAACTACGCTACCCAATCTCCGTACCTATATCTAGAATCTCCCCTTCTTCCCCACTGGAATAACGTAAAATTGGTTTCCCATGAAACCTCTCATCGCCTATTTTCCACCATCTATAAAAAGCCTAGAGTGAACGTCGTTGCTGCATCATCTGACACCGTCGGAGCCTAACGATCTACGTACTCATGCCATACAGAGATCCAGAAATCTGGAAGAATTCGCAAAAGGTATCACTCCAGAATTTATCTTTGTATGTATGTGTGTCGATTTTGTGAGTTGTTTACTGTCTTCACCACCAAATCCGAACAACCATCACTCATTTGTCAATCTTAAAAGGCTTCAACTCTAGATTCTAGGTAATCTACGAGTTCAAACCCTAAACCTCACTCTTGATTTGATTTCAAGCCCTAAACCTACCTTTTTCTTTTATTTTTATGTCTAATGAAGTAGAATGGACAGGGTGTGGTTTTGTTTTTGCATGTTTGTTCTATTTTTTTATTTTTTCTTTGACTTTTTATATCCGTGTTTGATTTTTTTGCAGGTTTGTTGATATTAATTTTTTTTTTGTTTTCTGTATAAGTTATTTGAATACCTTATGATCAATTTGAAGTTTTATGTGGTTATTTACTTAAATTTTTCTTTACTTTTGGTGTATGCGTTTGTTAAACTGTGCGTTTGTGTGTTTTAAAGTCCAGTTTTTGGTTTGGATGTGGAGTGAAACAAAGTTTCACTAGCAACAGGCATCCCTGCTACTCTATCTGTACTCAAAAGAGGTAAAATACCCTGATTACCCTTTCAATCTCTCTTCATATGCGTGCCTGTTTGTAGAAACAGAACCAAATCTCTTTAATTTCGGATTTCACAGATCGAACAATGGCTTATTTTCCCAAGGTTGTTCTTCACATTTTCTTATCTGAATTGGTCTCCGAGCTCCTGCTTGTGCCTTCTTTATCAATGCAACAACCTCCACCTACCGTTTCCAACCTGGGTAAAAGGTACCAAAACTCACCGCCTATCCATTGTTGCTGCATTTATGTTTCTATTTTTATTTTGGAATTTTTTTTGTCTGAAAGATTTTTGTTTTTTACAGTTTTGACTAACCATGATGAATACTTGAAGCTTGATGCAGCTGTGCCACCATCAACATTAAGAACTTTAATGGTTTTGGTTTTTTCTTTGCATCTTGACAGATTTTATGTGCTGGTGTTCTTCAGGAACATAAACTTATATTAGCCTATTTTTGATTTACTGGAGGATGTTTACAGATATGGTATGTCAACAAAAATAGAATTTGCACATTTGATGTTAATTCAAACAGAATGATCTTTGTGTGCAGGAGATTGGCTGCGAATATCTGCTTCACCTCCATAGTCCATTCTCAGACCCCACAACCATTGGAAATAGGATCCTGGGGTTGTCAGTTATGCTTCTAATGCTGGTGGCATCCTCGATGAAAGTGGTCAACACTATGTAAGTACATTTGTCTTGACTTTTGTAGTCAAACCAACATTTTGTCTCACTTCTAGATTTTGGGGATTAAAACAAACACCTTAAAAATGTTGTTTTTGTAACCGATACATTGAACAAAGTGAACAACATATAACATAGAATATAATATCAACAAGTTTGACTTAAAAGTCCAAACTTTTCTCCTTTAAAAGATATTGATTCACAGAGAGCTGGTTTCATAATCCTTAAAATAACACTTTTAGTTTTTTAGTTTTTTTTTTTGAATTTATAATGTTTTTGTGTATTACAACATATTAAACTTAATTTTTTTTTTGCATTATTTTGGATTTCAAAAACGAATCCATATGATCATTATATTATTTAAAGTATAGTTTTTAATTTGAATATTTAGATTTTTAGACGTGCTTCAATTTATATTGATTTGGATGTGAATGGAGTTTTGTTTCCTTTTTAGCACTACTTGACCAATGAACAAGGAATATCGACATCAACAGGATTTTAAACTTGATTTTTAACTATTTTTGGACAGATTTGCCCTTAATGTTGGAGATTATGTAGCTTCTCAAGCTGTGCATTCCCTTCATGTTGGAAAGTATGTTGTTTTTGGACATATTTGCCCTTACCCCTGCTTCTTAGTTGTTCTTGAAGTGGGCAATTTTAACCTGGTATTCTAATGTTGCTTCCAAACCCAAATCTATTTCCCGATTCCCATAAAGCATGAAGCTCCTTAATACATTACATTTTCTACGTTATTGGCCTTGATAAGGATTTTAGTGAATATACCAAAAGCCATGCAACTTATACTGTGTCTAGGTCCCTTAAAACCTCTGGATTCTAACAATGATATTATATACAACATCAAAAGGAAGTTTACATGCTTTTTGAATATTGATGGTAATATTTACATTTTTTTTAGTTCTTATCAACTTACAAATTTTTTTTTTTGTGTGTGCGTGTAGCAGGTGGAATCAGCAAAAACTTCACCACTTTTTGGCTTGATTTCAAGTGCTCTTGAAGCAAAAAAATCCTCTGTACTGGATGGGTGGTGATTTTTGAAAAATGTACAAAGTATAGCCTTGCGTTTCATTCTCACTATGAGTTCTCAACTAAAGGCAAGCCTTAGGTTGGGTATACTCATTTAATCTTGAGTCTGGCAACTGGAGAGGGACAAGGGCAAAATGGGAAATTTATATTCAAAAGCAAGAAGAAAAAGGGAAAACATGAGAAAAGAAATATATACTAGCTTTTAAAGGGTAAAATCCGGAAATTCAAGTACCAAGTATGAAGTTTTAAGTTTAAAAGTAAAGCATTAGAAAAGGTTGAGATCTGGAAATTCAATTTTGGATGCGGTAAAATTTGATTAGGCTGTTGGGGGTGAATGTGTAAACTTAATTTGTTTCCTGCCAAGCTTATCATGACGCTAAAATATAGAGGTTTTACTATGTGGCATATTTATCTCTTTTATTTTTCGCTTTCTCTATGGGTCGTTAAAATGGTAATAACCAAGTTGATAAATAAATGAAAATTATACGAACAAATGGCAGCTCACTTTCTTTTGTATTTGACAACGGATATCGACTAATTTAGAAGCCAATTTAAGGCATTTTTGTAGCCTACGATATGTGTTGGTTGCAACCTAAACTTCAGATACCTTCACGAGAATCATATTGTGAAATCAACACCAAAATTCAATTGAAGGAGTTTGTCAACATACTTATAGTTTCAACACAACAAACTTTTAAGTTTGCCTAAATGGTTATATTGTCGCACCACCGTACATATACCTTCACCAAAAAACAAACCCACTGAAAAGAGCCAGCAGTAACCTCTAGAATCACCATCAAGCATCATCAACGCCACCTTTCCACCCGGTGCTTGGCGCGGGTAAACAGCTAGTATATATATATATATATATATATATATATATATATATATATATATATATATATATATATATATATATAGGCTGCAACACGTATGATTGCCCAACTTGTTGACCAAGCAAATTAAACTTCCTAAGTTAACTAAACCACTAACTTTCCTTGATTAAATTAAAGTATCCTAAATTCATTCTAACTATCCAGATTATTGAAGACAATCTCTTTCTCCATTACACTGAGAAGCCACCCACAAACCATTGCATTGCATTGCATCACCTCTAATTCATCAAATCTTTGGATCCCATTCTCAATATGAGGATGGAACCATCAACGACACTAATTTTATATTTGCTGAATTATGCATCTCTCATCTCATTTTTGCCAGTCACCATAATTCTTGTCTTGCTAGAGGTTTTCTCCGATGAAGTTTGACAAAGGTGTGTCGGAGAAAATTGGATGATGACATATTTATGGTGTTTTTCTCTTTCATTGACTGCGAGGATTCATTTGTATTATTTCTTTTCAATAAGGGCTATGAGGTGGAGATATATAGTAGGACCCATTTATATCTAACTCTTCGTAGAATAGTCAAAATAGCATATCGTCGGTATCTAAGCTCCATCCATATCGTTTTGGTATATGATACCATACTTCCACACATGGAACACGGCTTTAGCAACTTCGCAGAAATATATCTAGCAGGTTCTGTCATCACGAAAACGTGGATACCACTATTTATTTGAAGGCTTGATTATGTATATATATTTATACGCTGCAAATACTGATTAGGTGCATTAAGGAAGTAAATAATCTTCAGCGGAAATTCCAAGGTTAGTTTGATCACTTTCGAATTCGATGGAAGCTTTTCTACTACTGATGAATTTGATACAGTTCCTCATATGTATTGTCTGATTGAAATATTATTGTTTGCTCGCAGTTTCTTGAAAGTTGTCTATTGCTTTAATTCATAAAGTGAAGATCTGGTTTTGGATAGTGTAAAAGGTATGTTTGCTTTTTAATATCACCTTAACAGTCTATTAAAACGATTCGTATTAGCATCTGCGCTGAACTACATTCGCTCTCCCAGAACCTGTTGGATAATTCAGAATCTGGGACGAATTTTGCACCAGGGGTATTTTGGGAATTCTTTCCTTTTAAAGATTTTTTGAGTTAGTTTAGGATCTAATTGGTATAGATAGGGGGTTAATTAGTATAGTATTTTAATTCAGATTTCCAGCAATAAATTCTTTGGATAGCAAGTAATAGACACAAATTTGTTGTTTAACCAAGTGAAATTTATGAGAAAGGAGAATACTAATTAAAATTGGCTATATTATTATACTTTATTCTTTTTATTAGTTACGCATATAAGTATCATATACTAATAAAGCTTATGTTGGAAGAATGAACTCTGATGGAGCATATTTTTTCTATAGATGCTTGTGCATTTGTTGTAAAGGTGGTTACTTTCAACCAAATAGATTTCTCTACCTTCTCCATGAAGATTTACTTGGCCCTTAATGTTTATAGTGAGAATATAGTTGCTAATTTTGTAGATCAACACCACAGAGATATCGTGTAGATTTTAAATTGAAATAGAATCCTTGCCTAAATCGTGAACACCTTTTGATCCCTACGAAGTTGAACACTTCTCTAATGGTTTTCTATTTTCGTCTTTCCTAGGAGCATTGTACAAACTCGAATGCCCATATCTTGATATAAAAGAAACTCCTTTTGTTTCTCTGCGGTTAATCTTTCCAGTTCCTTTTCTCTTCTGTTGATATAAAATATATTTTTTTCTTTTTCATTGTTCATTAACATCATGTATATATATATATATATATATATATATATATAGATATATATATATATATATATATATATATATATATATAGATATTATATATATATATATAGGGTGAGGTTCAATAAAGAACCATAATTAACCAAGGAACCAATCTTTTTTTCAACTTTTAGAACTTATTTTAATCAAAAAAAAAAAAAAAACTAAAAATACAAAATTCATAACTTTTTATCCTTTTTCCAATGATATCAAATTCGAATTTTTTTTTTTACGTCAATTTTACAATGTGAATCTTTGAAAATTCACAATGTGAATCCGGATTCACACGGTGAATCCGAAAAATATTTTTCACATTCACAATGTTAATATATGAATTTAGATATTTTTAGATTTTTTTTTCGATAAAGAATAAGCTCTGGAAATTGAAAAAAAGATTTGGTTCCTTGAAAAACCAATAATTATAGTTTTCTATTGAACTTTTCTATATATATATATATATATATATATATACTTAAAAAATATAAAAAATATATTAAAATTTATGATTTTCATTTCCTACAAAAAGTATAATATTTGTATAAAATATATTTTAAAAATAAAATCAAATAATAAGATTAAGTGAAAGATAATGGTTTCCTAAGTTTTAAAGAATGAAAGAAAAGTGATGAGAAAAATGAGGTGGCACTCCTATGCCCAAAAAAGAAAAAAAAATTGAAAAATAAACAAACTCTTAGGTAAAAAAAGCTAGCGACATAAGAATTTTAATTTTAACATGGGTTACTTATAAGAAGAAAATCATGAATTTAAAAGAAATCATTGGAGTGAGGACCATAATCTAATATATATATATATATATATATATATATATATATATATATATATATATATATATATATATATATATATATATATATATATTAGGCTACATGCGGTATCAAACGGTGCTAATATATGACACTTACATTTTTTTTACCATTTTTAAAAATGGTTAGGATGTGTACCGATGGCGGAAACATATCATTGACATTTTATCACTGGTAAAGTATAGTGCGGAGCGGTGTTCATCGCCGGTAAAAACTGTCACATAGGATTGCTGGGGTGAAAACAATACCACACCCCCACAACCTTATAGAAAAGTCAAATATCATTGTATTTTTCCATTCTATCCAAATTCCAATCTATGTATAACTATAACAAGTATCCAATTTATTATCATAATAATAATTTAAAACATTTTTCAGAATTTTACAATTTTAAATGAGTAGCAAGGAAAAGTAAAGGGTTATTTAATTCTTCTATATAGAAATATATAAACGATTAATGCTTTAATTATTTAAACACAAATTTTCATAATTGGTTCATGTGGTTTGAAAAATATCTCACTTTGAGAACTTTTATCGAAAACGTCCCGCCACTGGTCCTTGTGATTTGCAAAATTTCATGAATGGTCCTCCTGCGTTAAATCTAAATTTTCAACTGTTAGATTTTTATAAAAAATACTTTTTTACCGTTATACCAAATTTTCAATATACTACAAAACTCAAGGACCATTTTTCATAATTTAGTAAATTCGAAATTATATATATATATATATATATATATATATATATATATATATATATATATATAATTTTAGTTATTTATAATTTTTTCTAATATTTTTATTTATTTTAATTCAAGTAAAAGAAAAATAAAACTTCAATTTAAAATATTGTAACAACTTTTTTTGTAGAATCTGACTCTTATTATTAATTTTATTATTTATTTAAATATATTATGAAATTGAAAAATATTATTTTGAAGTTAAACTATTATATCTCATATAGAATAGGATTTAATTTGGGCGTTACATTTTAAAAGTATTAGTTCGTTTTCCTAATTTAATAATTATAAATCGCAAATATTACACGTTCAAACAGTAATTCTCAATAGATAAACTGCTTGATTTTTTAATTTTAATTTATGGTTACATATATAAAATAACCACTAATATAAAGTAAAAAAAGTTGATCGAAACCAAACATTCATAAAGATATTCATACGAAAAGTATGTAATCGTGAATCTTCTTTTATGCATATACTTGTGTGATCATCATAATGATAAATATTAATTCCATTTGTTTTCTATAATTCCTTTACAGATTAATTTGTGGTTATGAATTTGGGTACAAACTGGATGAGTGCGCCTAGGTCAAGCACCCTATTTTTGAAAGGGTTGGGTGAATTCCTTGATGTTGAAAGCAAGAATAATGCAAATTCTAGTGGAGATATTAAGTGCCCATGTGTCAAGTGTGCGAATAACGTGTGGTTAACACGTGACACATTAACCGAGCACATAGTCTGTAATGGCATTATGAACGGATACGATGCATTGATTGCTCAATCCACCTCACAGGTTCATCTTTTCTTTATTTCCATATTAAATGCAGCTTTAACAATCACAAAAGTATCTCTTATTTGCTACACAAGTTTCTCAAGTGCCTTAAAAGGCTAACTTTAATGGTAAGCAATGAAAAGAAAATAACCAGTAAAAAGAAATTCAGCGGACACCGATCCACTCGCGGAGGAAAGAGGTTTGTTAAGGCTGGTGGGTGTGCGTAACATGTTATCTCACCCAAAGTTGCCACCTCACTAGCCATGTCAAAATGGTGTTATAACACAAATTGGAGGAAATGGACAACATGTTATAATATAAAATGGGGATGGTGTTTCCATGTTATAACATGGTGCTAAGAGGAGAGACAGCGATAAATATGTGCAACCAATGAAAGGAAAGAAAGACTTCCGTTAAAATATGTTATCACGATAACATCTTCTAACATAACACCAAATAACATGAGATGGGGCGGTGTTCCTCATGTTATAACGCCGTTATTTGATGCCACATAGACATAACGCCTCTCCCCCGTTACCCACTCCGTGCACTCTAAGGTTTGCGTGTTAGAGCATAGGGGTACGAACAAAATATCACTAGCCAAGAATCTAACTGCTTCACATGTAATCTAGGCTTATTTTAGTGTTTGATATTTTTTTAATAATTTTTTTCAACAACTATTTTATCATTCAATAATTACTTCTTATCATATAATTTTTTGATAGTTAATATTCAACGTACAGGGTCCCTCCTGACCCTCCCATCCCCCCTCCCCCCGTCAACGTCACTGACCATGGTTTATAAAAAATGACAACGTATCTATTGATTTCTTGGTTTATATGATTTTTCATGCAACAACTATACACTTTTTTTCCACTATATCAACATTTTAATCAAAATTACAAAGATTCACAAAAAATCATTTTTTTAAATTCACACGTGAATGATCAACTTTTCTTTTGCAAAACATGTACAAGGCATTTGAATGAATATATATATATATATATATATATATATATATATATATATATATATATATATATATAATACAAAAAACAATGAAATTTAATATAAATCTTCACAAAAGGACTAAAACAGTCAATTTTTTATTTTATATTATTTTTATTTTACAAAAAAATCTTGAAAACTGGTAGAAGGTTGTATTCTAATTTTTTTTTAGGTTCAGCCGGTAACAAAGTAATTTAGAATTATCTCGTAAGTTGACTCAAAATATCGAGACTGTTTCATAAATTGACCTAAAATATTGGAACTATTTCATAAAATGACACAAAATATTGACACTTTTTTAAAAAAAAATTATTTATATTTATATGTATATTTTTCATATATATTGACAACTCAAATAAATATATTATTTTTTAAATTTATTATTAATAATAATATTAAATAAATGCATATATAAATATATTTTAAATACATATTTATACATATAAAAATGTATTTATATGTAAAATTTACATATACGTATACTAAATATATATGAAAAACGAATTTATATATTTTTATAACTTAAAAACGTTTTTAAACTTTTTTTCATTTAAATGTTTTTATACGTCGTATTGAAAAGAACTGGATGGTGATAGAATATATCGGTACAACGAACAGAGTAGGTCATACTTAAGTATGGTGCACCAAATCGTGCTTAAGTATACTGGACTAGAAATGTATGATGGACAAACGATCATATACTTTTTTTTCGACCTCTCCAACATAATTCTATTTTTTATACGAAAATATTATAAAAATGGTGCAAATAATATTTCAACTCTAACTCCACATTTTTTACATCATTTCTTACACCGAAAAATATAGTCCATAGTATATTATTTGTTTATAACTTATATGGATCGTTAAAAAACCCTTTATCTTATTAATTTTGTACAATTTTATTCGTAATTTTTCTATTATAATAACTTTATAAAATATATTATTATAAAGTATAACCAAATAAACCTCGTTGATGGTCTTTTTACATCGTTGATAGCCGAGATGTCCTAAGACCTAAAACAACAATTTTGATTGTCTCTCTTTACATCGTTGATAGTCTCTCCCTCACTGAATTCAATGTTGCCCGCCTTCAGTCACCACCGAAATGACACATTCTCTCTCATCAACCCTCTCATCGTTATTGACCTAAGAAACCTCTACCACCATCTTTACCGACCTAAGAAACCTTTACCGCCACCATCATTCCAGTAATGTATATAGCTGATAATTTAACATTTGAAAATACTAATATATATATATATATATATATATATATATATATATATATATATATATATATATATATATATATATATATATATATATATTATAAGGTAAAACAATCTTTTTCAACTTTAAACGAGAGAAAATTCACAACTAAACTATGTTAAGACCATAAATGCAATTTTGAAAATGTTTGGATTATACGAAAATAAATATCGACCACGCAATTTTGTCATTTTTTCGCAAACATGTTTCCATTATATATCTATTACTATTATTATTATTATTTTTTAACTTCTTCAATTAGTTTTAATGTATAGAACTATAGATTATAATTAATTAATAAATAATTTTGTTAACTATTTCTCAATAATTTTTTTTTAAAATAATATCATAATATTTTTAATCTTTTGTCATTGACGTCAAATTCACGAGCTAATTTTTATTTGATTTTTCAGCTTTTGATTTAAAGATTCTTGGTGTCATCCCTTGTAACTTTCTCTTGCACATTTTATAACACATGCAAATATAAGGCTGGAGGGATATAAGACTGGAGGGAGTGGTGCCACCGAAACCGCACTCCCTTCACCGACACATATGCGTCACGTCACTTTTTACCACACAAGTGTGGTTTCATGCCACACCAAGCGAGTGAGATTATGGTAAAGAGAGAGAAAAGAAAAAAAATAGAAGAAGGTGATTGGTTGAAAGAGGAGAGAGAGAACAAATAAAAGAGGACATAGAGAGTGAAAGTGCAGTAAAAATCTACCGCACTGCGGCCTAAACCGAACCAAACCGCAGTCAGGGGGCGGTGTTCCCCTGCCTATGTGGCAAAAAGTGCGGTAAAGAACCGCACCACTCCCCACAGCCTAATTTAAATACTCGTTAGCACATTTGTTAAATAAAAGCATTGATTTATGTTCAAATAAAATATATTAAAGATAATACAAAATCAAACAATCAGTAATCCTTCCCCATCAAAGAAGGCTCCTCACCGCATCACCACATGTATGCGGTAACCAACATCCACCAAAAGGTTCTTGCCATCAATGGCACAGATATCACATACTAATCTTGGGTCAAGCTTCATGTCCGACGCTAAATTGTCACTAACCACATCAACGATACACCGCCTCCCTTGTTGGCCTCATATTTGAACAATGATCCAACATTGATGCTCATGTTCTTGAGTGGATCTATGAGACATTGTCTAATGATCTTCTCTTATGTATTCTTGAGCTCATATTTACGACATTCGAACCTACCATCAAATAACACCCAACCCATCCACTTTCATTGTCGTTACCATAACATCAACCATTCCAGCCATATCAAGTCTCAACCTACCTTCCTCATTTCCATCCACCAAACTGTCACCCTTTACACCTGCCAAAACGCAATCGTAAACCACCATTGTCCACCCTCAACACAACTACCTACAATCACTCACACCTCTTCACAATCTACACATGGACGTTACCTCCCTCACCTATATCCATATAATACCTATCAATTACCACCATTTTTTTAAAATAGGGTATTTTCAGACCACATTAACCACTTAGCTTGTAGGATCCCAACGATGATGACAAATGCAGAATTGAAGAATCAATGCATAATCGATAAGACCTGCTTTGATGTTTAAGCACAGTTTGTATAGATAATGAGGAAAGTACAAAAACATAGAAGCATGTGTATATTACACTACTCTCTCTCTAGAACTAATCTAGAAATCTATACAATGGGAGCTCTCTCAAACCTATACATGAAAACTATACAAGTATATATAGGGAAGCTCTAACCAAAAACCCATATCACAAAAGGTAAGCCTAAGACACCATCCAATGGAGAGCTTTGCACCCTAACATTCTCCCCCTCAAAGCTTGGAATGGATGACCCAACTTCAATATCCAAAAATAAGCAACAAGCGAACAAGACCTCAAACGTGACAAATGTAGAAACAACCAACAAATCTTCAATGATCTTCTAATCCGGGGTTCTAGAATGTGAGACAATACAATCCAAAGCATCAAAATGTATTCGTGAGTCCTCGAGTATCCAAAACTCCAAGGATAACTACCCCAGTTTGAGCCAAAAGACACATCCCAAAAAATCTACATTGTCTCCAAAACCTTCATAGCAACGGAAAACCCGAACTAGTTTAGAATTTCCAATTCGAATCACTTCATAAACAATTTTTCTTCAAGGTCACGCCGGTCTTCAATCAAAAATGATCATTCACCAAAAATGAATATCCAACAACTTTCATTTTCGAATACCTATTTCATAACCTCTCCCCCTTTTATAATTGAAATATGATTATAAAACTCCAAATAGGAATGAGAAAGTGCTCAATGTTGATTTAGCATTACAATCCTTCCCCTAGATATGAGATAAAAATGAAGCAACGAATCTGGAAAAATCAAAAAAATATTTCAAATTTCGAAACTTGAATTCTTGGACCCCTTTCACTTCAAAAATGAACAAAATCTGTTCATGTTGGTGGAAAATGTCTCGCAAAAATAACACTCTAGAAATCCCCCAAAATATCTCCAAAAATTTGGAATGATTTAAGTTTATGGGTAAAAAGTGCCATTTTTATGAAACTGCAGAGACCAGATTTGAACGTTTAGTTATCTTCTTCCCTAAAAAGGTCCGGGATGCAAGAATGAATGAATGCACGTAGCAAACAACAACAATCAAAACATCCTATTTCTACTTGAAAAGATTATCCAACTTTCAACTCTAAATTTATTTCAATGTTTCGACTCGAAAATAGGATCTTTAACTTCCCATCGAACATGAACTTTCGTTCTCTGCCTTTGAAATCCAATTTTCGACCATCAAGATTATTTTCCATCCATTCGACTCGATATCATTACTTCGACATCCAAATTCGATATCGATATCAAACCACTCATAAATTAATTGTTGATACTTGACAGTTGAGTCAATTACGAGTCCAAAATCGAAAACCTTAATACCCAAACCCCTCGCAATCAGTTTCCCTTTTGTTTTCGTTATGAACCATTCGCTATCAATACATTCGATTTCCATGTTTCAAATCCAACTTCCCAGAATTGATTCCCAGTTGTGAATTTTCATCATTCATTCGATATCAAGCCCCAGTCAACCAAGCGTAACGAAAATCAACCATTTTGACCTCTCGATATTTGACCATTCAAATTTTTCATCATGCGATTAACAATTAAGCCTTGTATGTGAACCAATTAACCATACTCAATTTCTGGTTCTCGTGACGATGCTAAAGTTTCGACCACAAGACTAATTCGATTATAACCTCAATTTGCGATCACACAATCGATCAATGTTATCACGTTTCAACTATTAACCATTCATAGTCCCCTATCTTCCCATCGAAATCAATATTTGTTATCAGACTCAACGACCCAATCTTCAAATTCGACCATGAAACACAAAGAATCACATAACCATTTTCGAATACTTATACTCTTTCAATATCTAAATTCGAAATCTAAACTTCATTGAACTCACTAATGAAATTCCATCACCCAGTCATCAATTAACAACCTTTCATTCTATCATCAATCCAATTTGGACTTTCAATTCACTAAACAACAATCGCAAATCCGATTTTCACATTCTTGTTTGACTTTTTGATTGCAACATTCAACAAACACAAAAATCATGTTTCTCAAATAGATTTTCAGATCAAACACATATTTTTCAACTATTCTGCATCCTCCTCTACTATTTTGGACGATTCATCTCCGGAAA